TTTATAATTAGTTATAATTAACTAATAATAATAAAAAAATTATCTTTAATTAAAAAAATATTTACTATTATATAATATAAAAAAATTAATTTTATAATTATAAAAATAAATTATTATATTTTAAAAATATTATTAATTTGATAATAATTAGCTAAATAAAATAAATTATAATAAAATTCTAATATAATATTAAATTTTTTTTTATTTTTTATTTAAGATTTAATAATAGTTTATATTAATTTATATTTTAAATTATTTATATTTTTTATTAGTCCAGAATGAAGTGAAGGACTATATATGTCTACACAAAGTATTTTAATGTTTACCTGCTTAATTTGTAAGTAGATGTTAAGTGATTAGTTTTTATTATTTTACAACATATCTTGTAATTGATAAAAATAGAAATACATACATGTATTTATTATGAATTGAAAAAAATAAAAATAATAAAAATAATAAACAAATTTTATACTTTTAAAAAACCAAACAAAAAAATTTATATTTTTTAATTTATACATTCTTTTTAGTTGTTATATATCATTTTATGCATTTTATGCTAAAATATACCGCTAAATCTATCATTACTAAATGTGCAAAAAAATTTCTTTTTATATGATTATTTTTTTCTCTTTATACTATTATACTAATTTTGTTCTTAAGGTATCAAAGAAAGTAGACATTCTTTTTCATCTTTTTTTTACAAGCCTTTATTTATTAAAGCCTGTCGAAGGTAAACTGCTTAAAGAAAATATCTCTAAGAGAACATATTCTTGATACTGTAACAAATAAAAGATCCACTACAAATTTTTGACTTTTGAGATTTATTTTAATTTTTGCCAAAATGAGTCTCTGACTCTTGTAGATTGTTATTGCCTATGCGAGACATATTAGAATTTGAAGTTAAGAACAAGTCATTTCAGATTTGAGGAATGCTACAACAAAACCAGATAAAGTGAACATTTGATTATGTGATATAAATGAGAGGCTGATTATGATGCAACTGTAAAATTGACCAGCATGACTGATGACGTTTTAAAAAGTAATAATGGTGCTTGTTCATAACTTATAGACTTGTTAATTTTAATGCTCACTTTATCATATCAGAATGTAATGAATATAAACCATAATATAGGACTATCCCTATATAAAAATATTAATATGAAACTAATTTACATTAAATCCACCATGGAACCAAAGAATTACAGCACCATTATAAGCATTCTAAAAAAAGAACAATTACTTCCTTAATTTTAATCAAGCTAATTTTTTAGTTTTCTTAACCTCAATTTGAGCAATATGTTGGGTTTGTTGTTTTCTTAAGAATTCAATCTCATTTTCAAATCTTTAAATTTTATCTAATAATTCCTGTTTCTGCTTATTATGCCAATCCTTTGACACTTCTAAGGCTTCCAAATGAGAACTGATTTCTTCCTTTGCATTGGCTAGTTACTGTTTCAAGTCTTTATTTTACTGTTCTAATCTACCAACATAGCTTTGTCCCATTATCTCAGCTACTGAAAGGGTTTTAACTGGTTTATTTTTTCTTAAATCACAAAAGCAATTTACCCTGTTTCTTATAGCTCGATCACAATCATTACAGTGTGGCAGGGTGCCATTATCAAGATCTCCTTTACATTCAACACAAATATAGGCAATATCATTATAGCCACTAGTTTTAGTATTATAGGCTACCATTTCATGAGTGGCAATTGAGTTTTTATTACTCTCAAAAGAACAGAAATTACAGTGCCAACTGTCCCCTCTTCCTAACTGACTGATCTGATATTCTAATTTCATGTTACTTGCTCTTTTGTATGATATAAGCATTAAATTTCTCCTTAACTATTTCCTTAGTCTGATTCACTTTACTTTTTATCTTACTACCCAACAGTTTAAGCTTATTAGTTTTTTTGGTAAAACTGGTAATTCTTAAAGTTATTTACATGCCACATAGTTCTGTCATGCCATGAAATTTTCTAGTAATTTTATCTTTGCAGAAGCTTTGTTCAAATCATCTTTTTTGGCTTTGATAGTCTCTGTAAACAAACTAACTTTGGGTTCTCATCTTTCTAATATACTTACTTCTAAGGCCTTTTCAGCTTCTTTTCACTCCATTTCCACTTCATCTTCCAATTCTTCTACTCTGAATTCCAATTCCTTTTGCTTAGTTTCTAGCTCTTTTTGCTTAGTTTCTAATTCTACAATCTTTGGTTCTAACTCAGCATTCCTTTCTTCAAGTTTTTTATTTTGTTTGGAAACATAACTGAGAGAATTACAACTAAGTAATGTTCATTCTGTAAAACCTTTAACAATGTTTTCAAGAGTGAATTCATTACCAAAATTAACTTTCTCAATTCCATTTTCTTCTTGAACCTTTACTCACTCATCTCAAGACCAAAAATGTTGTTGTAAGGTCATTAAAGTGCCAGCAATTTCTGGACTTTTGCTTTCCATAACATTGTGAATGGCATTATAAATTTTTAGTTTGAAGTTTTCATCTTTATCAATTAGTTGTTTCTTTAATACTTCATTTTCTTCTAATAGATTTCTATTTCTCTGTTCGAGTTCGTTTATGATGTTTACCATTACTTCTTTTTTATTTTTATTTCTTTTTTTTTAATATACTTATGAGGATATATTAAGTATATAATTATTTTAATATTTCCTTTTATTTAAGCTTTAAAAATTAAAGCGGGAAAAGACAGAGAAATTTGTTGAATTAGCGGATAATATGAGAAAATTAATAAGCATTGAAATAATGGTGAGAATTTTAATATTTTATTCATTGCCAGTATAGATTGATCTTGAACAAGTAATGTCTTTAAATTCTTCTCGAACAAATGGGCGAATATTGTGATAAAGATATTCTTGTCTTTTGTAATCTAAAGGGGAAGAAGCTAGTATTAAAATGGATAAAGATTTAATTTCGTTGGTAATTTCAGAAATACTTGCTTTTTTGGTTTTTAATAAATTAAATTCAGTAAAAGCATCATTGGTAACTATCTGGGCTCTGACAACTCCAGGTCGAGCTGCTTTAAAGAGAAAATGCTGATATTTTTGTAAACCATTCAATTTTTTAAAGAAAATTCCCAATACGAAATTAAGATTCAAATATTGAAAGTCTTTGCCACCTTCATAACACTAAGTTTTGTTTAATTCTACTGTACTCAATCTTTTCACAATATCAACAATATGATTCATACAATCTACAGTCATTTTGCAGTATAGTTTCTTAATCAATCTGAAACTACCATCATACTTGAATTTAGTATGTCCAGGTATCATGAAATTTAATTTGATACTTTCATAATAGCCGCAAATTATTAAATACAGGTAAAATCAAATGGTAATGTTATTTTTATTCTGATTTTCTGTATTATTACAAGTAATCATTAAAATTTTTTCGCCTTTATTCAATCGCTTAATTCTATCGAATACCATGCTTAGCGTGCCATTAGAGCCTTTGCTGATAATTTTGTTTTCATCGAAAACGTAATTAATTTGTTCACATACCGCTTCATCTTAAATACCAAATAAATACACTTTACGTAAACTAAGATAATAAATTTTATTTACCTGTTGATCAGAATGGGTACGTGGACATTTTGCGCTCAATCGTAACTGTAATGAGCTATCACGTTAATGCTACAATAATCAGCTTTACCTCCTGTTACAACGTAATTGTCGTCTACCAATTTCCTTTGTTGTTCTGCTAATTTCGTATTTTTGTTGTAATAGTTTCTCTCTAATTTAAATTTAACTAAATGTTCTTTGAATTTTTTTAATAAATCTTTCACTTCTTCTTTCTTGCGAGCATTATACTATAAGCCATTTCAGAAATGTTAGCATGTGTCACATAAATCCGTTCTTAGACTCATAATTTGAATATAAGGCGTTAATTAATGCCACAACTTGCGGAATGCGTCATATTTTAATAATTTCAATGTGCTATCGTTTTCAAGACCTACAATAAAATCACGATAGACTTATTTATAACTTGTTTCAGCTGGCAAAAGTGTAAGCGATTGAGTAATTTGGTTGATGTTTCTACCAGGACTTGGTAATCCATGAATTTTGGCATAGTTTTCGAGAAAATTTTTCACAGATGTAGTAACGGTTGTATCAATAGTTATTTTGGTTTTCCATCGCAGCATTCGTTTTATATTACCATGAACGTGTGGTATTATACCATTTGTTGTCAGATGATTTCTGACATTTTTGAAGTGAATACGGCCAATTTCTAACATATTGAGATATGTTTATTGGCAAAGAGGCGTATCACGATCTTAATAATAAAAAGTTCTTTTATTAGTACGTGTTTTCTTTTTAAGACGTTGACTGACAGTTATTTCTCCACCATTCATTGCTTTCAACTGAGCCATTAAAAATATATCTTGTTCAAATCTAGAGAAAGTTGAAACGCTTCACGTAACTCAACAAACTTTTCTCTCAGAATCTTTTTTGAGCAGCCGCAATTGCAACCCAGCCCCAAGAAGCGTATGACTTTTTCATATTTGGTCGAACTATTATAATTACAATTTTCCATATACGGGTAATCCTATATATATAAATTTTATCATTTTGTAATAAAACAGTTACATGTCTTTTCATATACACGTAATCCTATGTTAATATAGATATATATATCTTGCTAAAACTAGCTCAGGACATTTATCATTCTTAATTCAGTCATTGAAAAATATGCTATCTTAGTATTTAATTTAGGTTTAATATTGAGTTTAATATCCATTATAAAAGTGAATATATAGGTTTTATAATATGCTTGTTAAAAACATTGACATGAACTTGCAAAAGCATTTTTATAATATTTATTCTTGCTAAAAAAGCATCATCTTTCCTTAACACATAAGCTTCCACTTGTGCAACCCACTTGTTCTTAATTGTTTATCTTTTCTTTTTCCTCCCCTTGAAGCATACGGACAGAATCTAATAATACTTCTTTCTTTTCAGATTTCCCCATAATCTGGATTTGCTGTTCTCTATTCAGGATCAAAAGGAGTGACATAAGAGACAACTATCTGTTTCAGAATTCCCATCACTTCATTATCCAAAAACTTAAAGCAATCCATTCCAAATGAAGACATGCATATTATTTTCTTGTTAAGTCTTTTCATCTGGCTTTCAGATTTGGTATATGAACAAGTGGCAGGTACTTTCCACCCTTGATCTTCGAACTTTTCCAGTATGTTTGGAGGGTCAATAAACCACTTGCCAGTGTACCTGAGCTGCCAATAAATGCTTAAATACTCTCCGCTGTAATTCTCAAGATTTTCACCTGTAAAAACTTGTTCAGGATGCATCTTGGCTAACGAGGAATACTTCTTATCTGCACTTGCATAGGGACTTTGGTAATTTTTCACTTGGATAAGAATAAAGGAGTACTACCCATTTGCAAGCAATATTGGGATCATCAGATCAGTTGTCTGCTGATTGAGTTTAAAGATAATTGCAATGCGGCAGTGATAATATTCTTTGAGTTCTTCTTTATTTAGTACGTAATCAACTGAGACAAAATATGTAAAGGCCACATGGCCATCCAGAATGTACTTGAGTGCTTGTTTATTGTCTGGGTAGAACAGCTGAACAAATTCTTTAAGAATGATGAGGAAACTAAACCACCTTTTCTTAAGGTGTCTGACTGCAAGAATCAAAATGAGTCATGCCACAAGTTTCCCACGAGAACCAGGCTTTACAATACCCTTTTTTAATGAATCGTTGAACGTCTTTAGAACTTGACCAAGTTGCCTTTATCCTCAATCAGGAAGAATTCTGCTTCTGCCAACAGCGGCTCTGAGGGGTAACCAACCAACAGATTTTCCCTGTCTTCTGAGATCGCGTAGCATATTGCTGCATGTGATGTGACAAGATCAGATGCCAGTGTTAGTTGTGACGAGATCTTCAGACAGGCCAGCAGAGATATAATGGCGATGCTCGCGCAGATGATATCAGCATGTGTAGTGATCTGATCCTATTTTTAAACAGTCATCCAGATCCAATCCTAAATTTTTCATGCCAATCTGAATGGCAATCCGGATGTGAAATTTACGGATCCATCCTTAATGTCTATTTAAATTA